GCAGGAAGCGTAAGTGACGCCGCGTGCGGCGGCTTGGGCCGAGGTGCAGGAAGGGAAGGGCGGTAGCGCCGTGGTGCCGTGGCCGTGGCGGGGAGGGAGGAGCGGCGAGCAGTCGGGTTACCGGGGAATAACTGCTTTCAGACCCAAATGAGCAGAGCGCGATTTCACAGGTTGTTGTCCTAAGGGAAAAAATGGCCAAAGCCACTGCAGGGTTGCCTTTTTTAAAATGACGGTCTTTGCCCGGTGTTTATTATGTCTGTACTTCATTCACTAGCAATTGCGAAAATTACTCCCTACTTTTAGCTCTGTTTCCTTCGGATAGGAAATTCCTGAGAGACACTTTCTGTATATGTATCTGTTTCTGCGTGTCCCCCAAGAGTCCATAAGACTATAAATAACTGGTAGGTCCATTTTTTGATGTTTTTGATGAAAACCACTTTTATACGGATGATACAATTTATGATTGTTTTTCGTCTCCTAAAGATCTTTTCAGGAAGGGCAGAAACGTCTATGGAAAGAAACCAATCAAGGAACCGCTCAGAGTGCTTGAATGCCAAATTGATCTTTTGTCTGTAACTTTCACTTATTTTCAGACAACTTGAGTTTCAAGTCGGCAGAATCTCTGTGTTTGGTAAAAGTGATGGATCTGCAACCTCCTGCTTTATCAGGGAAGGGGACTCTTTTAACCCAGACGGGTTAAAAGAGTATTAAAGGATAATCAGTCAAAGCTCTGCAGACTTCCAAGTAAAACAGTAACATGCTGTACGCAACTAGATTTTTCACTTTGGTTTATTTTTTCTCAATAGGAAGTATTGTTTGAAGTGGTTTTATAAAAGACTTTAAGATTTACCCAGTCTGTGAGTTCTCTTACAAATTTCTATTTGTAATTATTAGAAAAAATATGAGGGGTACTTCTGCAAGCAAAACAAAACAAAAAACCTGATTACATATTTGTGCAATTAAAAGGTCATATAAAATCAGAGGTAAAGTGACCGTGGCAGGTACAAAAGCAGGGAGGCCTAGCAATGGAAATAAGCAGCAATGGTCAAATTCATGGTTTCGAAGAGGTACAGAATGGTTTCAAGGTAACTGGAAAGCTTTGCTAGGGAGCATCTCTGGTGTACAGAAATTCTCAAGAGGAACCAGCCTTGACTCCCCACCTCTGCGCGAAGAATATTTCAGAACGTTTCGGGGTGGTGGACACCGCTGGATGCCCCGGGACGGATCGCGCACGTCTGTGCACCACCACTTCTGCGGCCCTTGCAGCTACCAGAAGTTATGAGTTACCTCAGTGAGATAAACTAGCCTGGAAGCAGCTCTGCCCAAGAGGGAGTCCTGGAGCGGCTGTAGTTGCTGTTTAGGTATTTCAAGTTTAGGTAGAACGTCCATGACCATAACAAGATGGAAAAGCTTTACAAAATGATTCTGTTTAATGCATTACCTGAGCATTTCTGATCACGTTCCCTATGTTTTGACATTTTTGAAAGTTTCGGCATGACACTATTGCAGTTTTTGTGTCCATGGCATTTTTCACTCCCAGAGCTCTTGTTAACATTAAGCCAATTAACTGTTTATTAGCACAGCATAGGATTTTGTTTCTGTTTCTTAATAGTACCATCTTAACCTGAAGAGTTCTGACTCAGGCTTTGTGTTTTTCATGACAGCAAAATCTTACAATATTTCTGCAAAATCACACACCTTCAAGATTAAATTAAATTCAGTTAGTCCCACTAGTGCTTTTCAGAAACAGAGACAAAAAATGGACTTCTGAGATACCTGTCATCCTTAAAAAAAATCGTCATTTTTACCTACAACACTGTTAAGAATTCACATATATTTTTCTTCATATATATTCTAATGAACGATTGACCACAATTATGTCACTGTTATGCCATCAAATTAAAAACTTACTTGTTTTTCTTTCTTTTTCTCTGCTTTTGCTTTAAAGGAGCACTATCAAAGGCCTGGTCTGACAACAGATTACAACAACAGGCACTTGCAACTAACTTAAACGGTCTTGAATCATATTCTTAATTAGAACTGGTTGGCAATTTAATTTACTGTTTCTTCTAATGGTAAAGAGTTGTCTTTCATGGAAAATTTCGGTGGGAAAGACTTCTCAGCTTCCAGATGGAGCTTCTAGTAAGAACAAGCAAGATAATCATTCTGCAAGACTCTCACTTGAGATGTGGGAGTTTCAGATTTCTGCTCCTGCTTTGCCTGTTCCAGGCCCTCCCACGTCTTACTGAAATAGGCTAACGATTGGAATATAACATTAGTATGTTTCTCTAGAGCAGTTAAAATTTAACTGTTTAACAAACCAGAAGCTCCCAAAAAGACATTGATAGAGACCCTCCCTTCTTCGTTTTCCTCTGCAAAATGATCTTTGTTTCGGAGAGAGCTGGGAACTCTCATAAGTAAAAGGGTTTGCGTGTGTGTGTCGGGTGGGATAACTATTTTCCATCCACCTTTATTCTTAATGTTATATACTTACATTTCCCTGCACAATGGTACACAGAACAGGCTGTTGGACTACACTTAGATAGCGACTAAGCTCTTACTCTTAGTTTATGGAGCCTCTAGGAATTTAGAGTAAAAAAACAGGTTATAAATGAAGAAAATTATTAATTTATAAACCATGTAAATTACATTATTGTGAAAAATGACTTACCTAGTTCATGATCCTGTGAAGGGTTAGGTAAGGATTCTTCTAAGGGGAACAGATGTTTTAAAAAGGAGGTTAAGTGAACCCTAGAATAAGGAACGTAAGCATTTGGTTAAACTAACAAAAAGCATACTTACCTGCTGGCCTAGATATTTAATTCCAAGGAGTTGTGCACAATCAGTACTAACATTACCACTATTAGGGTAATATACCATATAATACCATATAATATACCACTAAAAATGAGATATTTTGCAACAACAACCCCCTCTACATAATTCGTGGAGCCGTACAATGGGACAGGCAGAAAATTATGCTGAGAAAAATTATGCTCTGTGTGATTAGCTGAATTGGCCTCATAGTCCCTACACAGCAGCAGAACTACTGAATGGAGACTATAAAAAACCTAGACTTGTTAGCAGATCTCTCTTCTGCCCACCCGTGGGCAACAGTGTTCTTGAATCTCGGTATTTAATATCCTCATACGTTTCCTTTCTTCCTCTCCTGTTCTCCTACACCCTCTGTTGAATTCGGCACTTCTTTGCCACTCCTAATCCTACAACAGTTCAACATTTCCTTTTTATCTCCAGATGCTTGTCCAAAGCTTGTACACAACTTTCTTGCAGAGGTTTTATCCTTCCAGCAAGATTGCAGGCTCATTTGCTAGAAAGCTGTTAAATGTCAGACTGCTAGCAATGCAAATGCTTATCTATTTGTCACTTCAGCAGCAAATAATCAAGCCTGCTTTTCATTTTGTATTGTGGCAACTGTGTTCAGAAACTTGTCATGCAACACGGTCACCTACACATTCTGGATTTTATTGTTGTAACTGATTTAAGCAGTTACATACATAGCAAACCCTCCCCAAATAAAAATTTGAGTAGCAATAGGTTAGCCCGAGTTGTATAGCAAATAGTATGTTTTAAGCCATCAGCTTCGAAAATGCTGTATGACTTCAGGGACGACAATGTGAAATACTAATAGGTCACTTCTTCAACCACCACTGTGAGGGTGGTCAAACACTGGAACAGGCTGCCCAGAGAGGTTGTGGAGTCTCCATCCTTGGAGATACTCAAAACCCAACTGGACACGGTCCTGGACCGCCTGCTCCAGCTGCCCCTGCTTCAGCAGGGGGTTGGATCAGGTGATCTCCAGAGGTGCTTGGCATTGAGTCTGGGTGAGTTAAATCATCCAGGGAACAAAAACATTAAGAACGGTTGGACTGAAACATATCTAGGAGTGTTTTCTTAGGCAGAAAGGCTGGCTTAACAGGTTCCCAGCCTCGACTGCTCGTTCCTGCTCGCACACCGTTCACTGTCCCCTTGGTGGTCTTAGGCAAGTCTATGTAAGTTATGAACATGGAAATGGCCTCATTTATCCAAACACAAAAATTGCAGCTCCTCCCAGTATGCATTTGCTCATTCTGGCCATTTCTGTGACCTCATCTATAGTGTGGCCCCAAAGCAAGTGCAGCTGATGCTGCAGGCAGAGCGGGGTGAAAGGCCCGGGGGTGGCACCTCGTTAGCCACCAGAGGCAGAGCGACACGAAATTACATCCTCAGGACAACGGCCACATTATAAAGTGGCAAGCGAGCTCTGACAAAGCCTAATACTGTTTATTTTTGGACGACAACAGTAGGCAGTCTCCACCCAAGGCCAGCTTGCCTTGGGATGCCCCTGCTGCGGGTCGTGTCGGGGCGGCGCTCAGGCCGGGGTCTGCCGCTCCGGGCGCCCGACGCCGCGCCAACACCGCCGCTCTCAGCCCTGCGCAGCGAGCGAGCGCCTCGTGCCAAAATCTAGCAGTTTCATACGACTCCCCAGTCCTTTCTTGGTAACTTCCTTCGAGCAGGTTGCAAAACAGGATACGTTATTTTCCCGCAGGCAGGCCACGTTTCTCCTGAACGTTTATTCTCTTGGGAAAGTGGCTGGGGCAGCCAAAAAAAAAAG